ATCTTCCCATACCTCCAGGGCCTGCCCCTCCTCACACTCTCATCCCTGCCGCCGAAATGTCCCCAGAACTTGGCCAGTGGCCGGATGAAAGCAGCACTGACGAATGGCCTTCACAGGAAGGGCCGTGGAAGGAGAGAGAAGGTGGGGGAAGTTAGGCTGCTGGGGGAGCTGGGAAGAAGGACAATCATTTCGGAAATCACCAAGCTCACAAGACACACAGACCCTGAGCATTGTCCAGACTCTAGACCTGCCTGGTGGAGGGAACTGGAGTGATGCGGTGACCCCTCTGAGCCTTCGTTTCTTCCTTTGCTGGGTGGGAATAAAATTCCTTTTTCTCACAGGATTGCCCTGAAAAGGAAAGGTAGCAGACAAGACAGGTCCTCAAAGTCCGTGTCCTTGCCCCAGGGCAGTGGTTCTCAAACTTCAACAGCTTGGAGTGGGGCCTGAGACTTTTCCTTTACGAATTCCCACTTGTGGCTGGTCTGCACTGTGGTATGAGGTATGTGTGTGTGTACCTGTAGTAGGTATATATTGAACTTTTTAAGGAATGGCGCGAATAATTGCACCTCTGTACATTCCCACCAGCAGTGTAGGACATTTCCAGTGGCCTCACTTCCTTGCCAACACTCAGAATGGCTGGTCTTTCAATTTGAGCCATTTAACAGATATACAATGTGATCTCACTGTGGTTTTCATTCACATTTCCCTAATGACTAATGCTGTTACACATCTTTTCATGTGGTTGTGAACTGTATGTCTTTCTTTGACAAAGTATCTCTTCAAATCTTTAGCTCGTATTTTCAACTGGGATTTTTTTCCCACAAATTTTGAGGGTTCTTTGTATATTTGGGATACAAATCCTTTGTCAGTTATGTGATTTGCCAATATTGTCTCCCTGTCTGTAGCTTCTGTTTTCATTTTCTTGATAGTATCTTTTGAAGAACAGATTTCATTTTGAGGGCCTCCAATTTGTCAATATTTTCTTTAATGCTTTTGGTGTTGAATCTAAGAAATCTTTGCCTAACCCAAAGTCTCAAAGATTTTCTCCTGGTTTTTCTTTTAAGGTTTTATTTATTTATTTGACAGAGAGAGACACAACGAGAGAGGGAACAAAGCAGGGGGGGTGGGAGAGGGAGAAGCAGGCTCCTTGCTGAGCAAGGAGCCTTGCGGGACTCAATCCCAGGACCCCTGAATCGTGACCTGAGCTGAAGGCAGATGCTAAACGACTGAGCCACCCAGGTGCCCTGGTTTTTTTTTTTTTTTCCTTGACTTAATTAATTTTAGGACTTACATTTAGGCTGATGATGCATTCTGAGTTAATTTTTGTAGGTAGTGCAAAATATGAATTCAAGTTCATTTTTTTAATTAAATTTCCAGTTGTTCAAAAGACTGTAATTTCTACACTGAATTGCCTTTGCATCTTTGTTAGAAATAAATTGACCACATAATTGTGAGTCTCTTTCTGTACTCCATTCTGTTCCACTGATCTATTTATCTGTCTTGACACCAATACATCTTGACTACAGTAGCTTTATAGTAAGTCTTAAAGGCAGGTAGTATAAATCCTCCAACTATGTTCTTCAATTTCAAGCTTTTAGCCATTCTAAGTACTTCGAATTTCTACAGGAATTTTAGAATTGGCTTGCCAATTTCTACAAAACAGCCTACTGGGATCTGGTTGAGATTGTGTTATATCTACATATTAATTTGGGGAGAATTGACATCTGAGCAGTATTGAACACTGTTCATTCATATGTATGAAATCTCCATTCATTAATCTTTAATTTCTCGCAGTAATGTTTTATAGTTTTTGTGTTCAGATCTTGCACATCTGTTGTATTTGTTTCTAGTATTTCATATTTGGAAGCTATTGTAAGTGATACCATTTTCATTTGACTTCCATTTTTTGTCATTAGTATATAGAAAAACAATTGATTTTCATGTATTGCTCTTGTATCCTGTGACTGTGCTTAAAACACTTACAGCTCTAGTAGCTTTTTTTGTCGATTCCATTGGATCTTCTACATAAACAATCAAGTCATCTGTAAATGAAGAGTTTTTCCTTCTTTCTTTCCAATCTGGATGCCTTTTGGCTCAATTCTTATACTCACAGCGTTTTAATTTATACAGGTGACTGAATGATGACACAGAGAGGGTAATGACACTGAAGGAAGGTTTTTATAACTTACATTTCCTGCAGAGAAGGAAAATGCCATGCCATAGAGGGCCAGCCACCTGGGCAAGCAGTAGAGGAGGAAGAGGCAAGACCAAGGGGAAGGCACAGACCACACCTTTAGTGTGTTTTCCCCTGTCAAGACAAGCAAGGAAGGGGAAACAGCTTAGGATTGTCTAGTTTGATTAATTCTGGTGGGCTTTGGGTTACAGGTTGCAACTGTCTCTTGTTGTCTGGCACCTGGCACAGGGTTGACTCAGGGCAGAGGAAATACTGGCTTGGTAGGTGAGAGTTAGATAAAGGAGGTGGTTTAGAGTATGGGCCCTGGATTGGTTAGTTTGCATAGGAAAGGCATGTTCCTAGGAATGCCCTTTGCTCTAAGAAGAGGCTAGCCTTGGGAGGGGCCATCTCTCCCCAGTCAGCCAGGCCACAAGTGCCTAAGCATCAAGAATGCAGAAAATTTAAAAAATATATAGTTAATATAATTGCCCTGTGATAAATGAATGCCAAATACATAAATACAGAATCTAAGAAAACACAGAACACTTTTATTTCTTTGTCTTGCCTTATTGCATGGGCTAGAACCTCCATCATAATAAATGGAGGTAGTGAGAGCAGATATCTTTGCCTTACTCCTGGTCTTAGGGGGGAAAGCAGGAGCAAGGTGAGGTACCATGGAGGGGGAAAGGTAGTGATGGATGTGGCCAATGAGGAAGGGAGAACAGAAACTTAAGAGACCTTAGGGGGAAGATCCAAGGCAGTATTCTCAAAATATGGTCCACAGTTCATAGTCCTCACGCGCTCTCTTCTCCTCATCACATGGCTTCTGACCCCCCCGCCCATGGCCACCCTCTGGGCTAAAGAGCTGCATTTAGGCTCTGCCCATCTATGAATCATGAAACTCCAGGCCCTTCTCCCACCAGAAGCCTCCTCTGTGAGAGCCACAGCTCAAGGCTGATCAGTGGGCCCTCTCATTGCTGTTGGGAGAAGTGAGGATGAGCAAACCCAGAGACCACACACCATCTGTGAGCAGAAAATCACACCTCACAATTCCAGGCATCATGGGGATCCAACTGGGTCCAGGGGCCTGAACAGGACATGAAATGTGCAGTTTGCATCTAGGGAGACCATATGTGGGAGCAGTGGAGCCTGAAGCACCTGGACAGCAGGTACTCTGCCAAAGTTAATGTAGTAAACATTTATATTTAGTAAACATGCCATGCTGCCCAACGGAATGGGCTGGGACACCCTCCAGTGGGTCCAGCCTCCTCCTTGGATGGCCTGGCAAAGAGGAGACTGTCCAGCCAGGTCCCACAGCTAGTGAGATAAGGTGGGAATGGAACTCAGGTGTCACCCCTCAGACAGGGCAGGCTACCCTCTAGAGGAGCTATCAAAAAGGCAGTTGTTCCCTTGTCCTGTCTTCTGTCCACCTTTCCAGCAGTTACCATTCACCCAAGCACCTTCCACAGCCCAGAGGAGTCCATGACATTAAGGCTCAGTTTCTTGACGGTGCCTTAGTTTCCTGCTGGTGAAAATACGTCCACCACACAATGTTGTAGAGCTGAAAATGGGGCAATGGATGTTTAGGGCCTGGCTCAGATAAGGGGATCTCGTGAAAATGTAGAACTTCTCTTCTCGAGCCTGGGAGGGAAGTGTAAGAAACACAGACACAGGGAAAGGGCAGGGGCTGCTTGGCTGGCCCGGGGAAAGGCGTGGAAGAAAACTGTGAGGTTTGAGGAAGAAACAGAAAACGAGAAAGGAAGTCAGTCAGCCTGCTGCCACCTCCAGAATACAAAGCCACTTCCTGTGATGAAATCATGCTTTCCCACCCTCACCATCTACTCAGTAAGCCAATGCCAACCTCATCCGGGGGCAGGAGGGAGCCCAGCCTCCTACAGCCTGACCAGGGAGTCACCAAAGTTCCCAGTCCCACTCTCACCCCCACCCACCAGCAGTCACAGGCTGGCAGTGCCCTCCATTGGAGATGGTCCAGGGACTGTCACCAGGGTGACTGTACTACTCCGGGCCTTATATCCCCCCTGGTCAAGGAAGGTCTGGATTAGCCAAGGCTCTCACAGCTGGGGAGGGAATCATCTAAGGAGCATTATAAAAATAGAGCCTCCTGGGAGTCACCCCCCAGAACTCTGCTCTTGGGAGCTGAGGCCCTGAGGTTGTGTGGTGCAACCAGGCAGAAGCATCCAGGAAGAGCAGAATGCTCTGTGGACTCAGTGAGACTGGAGTTTGAGTCTTAGACCTACCACTTGAGAGTCATTCGACCTGGGGCAGGGCTTCTCTGAGCCTTGGTCTCCTCATCTAGAGTGGGGGACAGAAGGACCTGCAGATCCAGTCTTGCATCTTGGGGGCAAGGAGTGGCCTCCAGAAGGCCCACCCTCACCTCTTAACCCCAGGGAGGGTGTGAGACCCCACAAAAGGAGCTGATCAGGGCAGGGAAGGGGCCTGGAAGGCCCGGGTCCTGCACAGGACTGCCGGGGGCTGCTGAAGGGGAGCCCCTGCCGGGAGGGAGAAGGACCAAGAGCAAGCTAGGAGTCCTTGGTTCTGGGGCTGGAGGTCAAGGGCATCTGACCACCAGAGGCTCCCTCCTCCTCCTCTCTAGGGGGCTATAGCTGGGCAGAGACTCATGGCTGCCTGTCATCTTGCTGCAAGAGCTGGAGCTGGTCTTGCTGCCGCCCCTTCATCTGGGAGGACAGACAGAGGCCAGGAGACACTCAGCCAATGAAAAGGAGAGCTAGAGAGACAGACACTGACTCCTAAGGAGGTAGAGATGCTGGCAATGGCCAGGAGTCGAGGCAGAAGGGAGAGGCCACACATGGCCAAGGTCAGAACCATGGCCCTCAGCGTGAAGATAGAGGCTGGGGGCCTCTGTCGTGGCTCTCTGAGCTCTGACCACAAGGAAGCACTTTTGCAACGTAGGAAAAGAAGAAACCGGATTGATAAAGGAAGTGCTGGCTACTCTGGGTGCGGGTGAGTTTGGGGAAGTCTCTCACCCTCCCTTGCTCCTCTGAAGGGGCCTGATCCACGCTCTCCAGGTACCTCTTGACTCCCCACGGAGGCACCCCCTAGGGCCTCCCCTCTGGCCTTGACAGAGCTGCTTGTCTTCTCCTCCCCTGGGAGGAGAGTGAGGCAATGGGTCCGTCCCTGCTGCTGTCTCTGCTGCTGTTGCCGACATGTCTGCAGGCTGGTGAGTGTCCGGGACACCCTGGCTCTGCCCCGAGGCCCAGCGAGTCCCCAGGAAGGGCTGAGGCTCGGCAGCTAGAGAAGGGGTCTGCTGGGGTAGCTGGCCAGGTCTCCCAACCCCAGTAAGCGATGGGCCGGTCCCATAGTGCTAGTCAGCCCCAACCCTTCGCCCTCCCCCCTACCCCAAGTCTGGTGAGGGGGACACCCAGGCCAGAGAGCCAGTCCTACCATCTGTCACACTACTGCCCATGGTGAGGGTGTCAGAAGGTCTGGGGTTATCTTCTTCATCTCTCCCAGTGGCTTCAGAGTCTCTCCTCTCCCCCGTCCTGCAGGTAGCTCAGAAGAATGTGATTTAAAAACTGGCTATGGGATCAAGCAACCAAATCACCTCTCAGCCCCCATGGGTGGCTCCGTCCATATCCCTTTCTCCTTCTATTACTGCTGGAAGTTAGCCAAGGATCCCAGAGTGAGTATAGCCTTGAGACGGGAACACTTCCATGCGCAGTTCATCTACAACAGTACTCAGCCTTTCATCCATGAGGAGTACAAGAACCGCATCTCCCTGAACTTGTCAATGGGTCAGAAGTTTGGCTCCCTGTGCATATCGAACCTGCGGAAGGAGGATGCGAATGTATACTTTTGCCGGATCCAAGTGAAAACACTAAGACACGGCACGCAGGTGTGGCAGTCCGTCCAGGGGACCAGACTCACCGTCACCTACAGTGAGTCCAGCTGCCCCGGCAGCCACCACGCCCACCCTGCTGAGGCTCTTAAAGGCCATGGTGCCCTCGTCCCCCAGGCCCCGGCCTCAGCACCTCCTGGGCTTCCCAGTTATCCTCCCTTCTTGCTCCAAGCTGGGGCTCTAGCCCTGCCTCCCTCCCCTCCCCCCATGCTGTCCAGGTGGACTTGACTTCTTCAGGATGTGGGCTGCCTTCCCTTTGTCATGTGTCCGTGCATGCAGCCCCAGCCAGCCCCGAGTCTTGCGTCTCCCCACAGCCATGGGCTCAGCCCAGCACACACAGCAGGTACCCAATGACGACCGAGAGCCCCGGTACCCTGGCAACACCCCATTACCTGTTTTCCCCAAACCCCCACTTCCTTCTCCTGCTCTGCTCCTCGGAACCCGGCCCACAATGCTCCCCGCCCCAGCCCCAGCCCTCCTCTCCTTTCCCATCTCCCTCTTCCCCACCTCCACCGTCTCTACCCTCCTTGCTCCCCCATCCCTAGTCCCCACCTCTGCCTGTACTGTCCCCACTGCCCGCTCCGATCTCGCTGCTCCGTGCTGGCCTTTGAGAGGCACGTCTGCAGCACAAATACGGCAGCTCCCACTTACTGTGCACTGTGTCGGGTTGAACAAGCTGGTATGCATCGCCCTAGTTAAGCTTCCCCACGACCCCACAGTAACAGTAAGTACTGCTGTCATCTTCCTGTTAGAGATATATCGGGACGCGGAGGCTCCAGGAACCTAAACACCGACCTGCCCAAAGCGACAGTCCTGGTGCAGGCGGGACTTGAACCCAGTTTAAGCCCAGAGCCTCCACTCTTAACCAGTAGTTGCTCAGCCTCACCAGCTGACCTGATCATATCGTTGTCTTGACCTACTGTTCACCCAATAATGGGATGTGTTACATTAATAGATCTTCCCATGTTACTCAGCAGGCCGTGGGAACTTGAACCTAGGTTTGTCCCCAGAGCAGTGTGGGGAGGGCGTCTCTCTGAGGAGCCGGGACTGGAGGGTGTATTGTCTGTAGACAGTTCCTTAAAAACTAAAAATCGTAGGTTTGCTTTTTACAATCACTTGCGCTGCCAATTCTGAGCAATGCATCACTGTTCCTGGTGGGAAGGACACTCTCTGTGTCCCCACTCTTGGTAACCACTGCCCCGTAGGACCACCGTGCTGGTTTTAGAGCAAATAGACAGTGGCTCACAACCTGAATTAGGCAAGACAGCCTTGGATTTATATTTCGGGCACCTCCTCCATCTTCCCTTAAATGGCCTTTTTGGGGAGATTTTGGCTCTCAGACCCCTCTTCCTCCTTCCCTAATCCTCCTGACTTTTCTCATTTCTCAGTTTCAGTCACGTTTGCTATGAGTTTCATCAATAAATTAATTTTTTCAATTAATGCAATTAATTGGATATTCATGCTCATATATATTTTTTAAATACAGAAAAGTAATAAAAAGAAATGTTTTTACCCAAGATAAGTATCACCATGCAAAAACATCACCCTAAAGGAATGTTTGCTGCTAATAGAACTGATAAGTTTGTGGTTGGCATAATAATGTTTTTTACATACAGATGTTTTCTCACTATACTCTCCTTTGTAAGTTCCTCTTTTTATTTCTTAGCCCAAAATCCTGTATTGCACTAGGAGCTGAAAATATTTTAATTTCTCCTGATTTTTGTCTGCTTTCTTTTGACAGTAAAACTCATTAATGTAGTGAGGATTTCTTTTGGTATATGGTTTGAGGTAAAGAACTAATTTGATCTTTACACCAAGAAACAAATCAATCGTCCCAACTGCATTTATGGAATCTTTTTTCTCTTCTTCATTGACTCATAGGCCTGGCCTTTTTGTAGGATAGCACCCACTTCTGGTCTATCAACTCCATTTCCCTGTTCTGTCTTTTATCTTGTTGCTACCACACTGTTCTAGAGATTGTAACTTCTCATGTTTCAGTGGATGATAAGACTATGTCCATCAGAACCATGTTACTTCCTCAAAAACCTTATTCTTTTGGCCTATTATTTCACATAAATGTTAGAATAAGTTTGCCAAGTTCTGAAGAAAACACCCACAGGTATTTTTAAAATCAGAATTGCATTAAACCTATAAGACAATTGACAGAAATGGAAATCAGTGTAAGTCCAATCTTCCCACCCAGGAATGGCCCCTATTTTATATATACCTTAGTAACCTTGGGGGAGTGCTCTTCTAAAGACCATGTAAATATCTCATGAGATGCTTTCCTCTAAATCTTTTATTTTTATACTAATATGCAACATTATTTTTTGAATGTTCATTTTCTATTTTCTCTAGAAAATATTGCATAAATACTGGCCAAATGGTGGGTTATATGCACGTTTACCTCCTTTCTCTACCAAATCCTACTAAAATGACAGCAAAGGGAATTTTTTTAAGACAAAATCTACAAGGACAAAAAATATGTGAGTCCTGTGGTCAGAAACAATATTTGGGAAGCTGGAAATACATAGACTAATGTACCTGGCCTAGGAGACCTGGGGAGCTTAGCCGAAAACTGGCAGTGGGAAGACCCAGAAGAAAGGCGATTTTTAAACTGCAAAAGGGTGACCGCAGACCCCCCGACAGTGGGAGTGAAAGGGGGTCAGAAAGCTAGAGGACTAGGTGAGAATCTACTTAAGAAGCAGGGAAACCTCTTTGCCCCCTCCCCACCCAGCAGAGACTGGAGATTTGCTTTCCAGAAGGGATGGACCAGAGGGACTCTCAGGACAGTACCCCAGGCACCCTGGGGGCAAGGGTTCAGTCCTTAAAACTGGAGATTTGGTGAACTGATGAGACCCTAAATGTCTTGCCCCCCACCCCTTAGATGCCTCCCAGGACTCCAGCAACCCAGCTGGTATCCCCCACCGAACCAAGGGCAAGAAATCAGGAGATTCTTCTCTGGAAAATCTATCTGATGGGCCCAAAAGGATCTAGAAATCCTAACAGATCCTACAGCCCACTAGCTGACAAGCACTTTCTCCCAGACCACACACACAGCTTCCAATCAGCATGGCCTTCTGCATGCTGGCCGCCAAGGGGCCAAGGACATGGGGTCTCGGCCTCACACGGAATCCTCCAGCCCTGATGATTGACCCCTCACTTCTGCTGTGCCTGGGATGCCTGAGGCTAGATACGCCATTTTAAAACTATGATTACATTGAACACTTAAGGAATCCTTCCCCCATGAAACACACAGCAAAACAAATGGGGAGGTGGGGAGCGAAGAGCGAAGGGAAGTACCTGGAAGACACCAAAACAATGGAGGGAGAATAAAACTCAGATAACTACCATCTTCAGAACGTTAAAACCGCAAGCATGGAGCAACAGAAGGAGCTTTCCAAACAAACAAGGAGCTCTTGGGAATTTAAGCTATAATGGCAAAAATGGAAAGCCTGGTAAAAGGATTGAGAGATCAACTTGATGCAAATGTCTCAGAAAGCCAACAAAGAGTCACGGATCTGGAAACCGTAGCAGGTTGGATAGCAGCCCCCACAAAGACGTGTCCACATCCCAGCCCCCAGAACCTGGGACTGTTACCTTACATGGTAACAGGTATGAGTCAGTTAGGACTTCTGAGGTGAGGAGGTTATCTGAGATTCTCTGAGAGGGCCCTAAATGCAAACACAAGCCTCCTTCTAAGAGGGAGGCAGAGGGAGACTTGTCACGGAAGAGAAGGCAGTGTGGCCACAGAGCAGAGACTCAGTGGTGCAGCCTCCAGAAGCTGGAGGAAGCAGGGAACAGAGTCTTGCCCAGAGCCTCCCGAGGGTGTGAGGCCCTAGTAACACCTTGCTCTCCGACCTCTGGCCTCTAGGACCTGTGAGAGACTAAACTTCGGTTGTTTAAAGTCACCCGGTTTGTGGTCATTTCTTACAGCAGCCATAGGAAAGTAATATAAAGAAAAAATGAGGATTGGTCCAAGAGCTCCAGCCTCTGAATAATGGGAGTTCCAGAAGCAGAGAAGAGAGAAGGTCATGGGAAGAAAACATCGACCAAATAACTCTAGAAATTTTCCAGAACAAAGGAGCCCACAGAAATGGGTAAAAATAAAAAGACCTACCTTGGGACACAGCAACATGAAATTTCAAAACATCAGAGACAAAAAGATGATCCAAAAAATATCCAAGGAGGAAAAAACAGGCCACAGGAAACTTGGGAATCACAATGGCTTTGGCCGTCTCCATAGTAACAGAGGAAACTGGAAGACAATGGTTGAATGCCTTGAAATTCTAAGAGAAAAATTCATTCATTCATTCATTCATTCATTCATTCATTCAACAAATATTGACTGAATACCTACTATGTGTCAGGTGCTAATACGGACACTGGGGAAACAGCAGGAAAGAAAGAAAAAAAGCAAAACATGCTCACAACAATGCCACTTGCACATAAATGTGGAAAGAAGACAGAAAAGAAAGCCAACAAATTAATTCTGTGTGTTGAATGGTGATGAAAAGAGAAAAGGAGGGAAATGGAGCAGGATCTGGGGGATAAAGGTTGCTAGGGGTGCTGCTCTATTCAGCTGGAACGGAAAGGCCCCAGAGATATTAGTCAGAGCCAGGAGGAAGCAGCCACTGCAACAGGGGGACTGAGGAGAGTTTTGAGTAGAGCACAGGATAGGGAAACCAGTCAGGGATGGAAGACACCTGCAACCATCCCCATGACTGATGAGCAGGGTAGAGAGAAGGTACTAGGACCAGAGAGGAGCTGTAGCCTCTGGGGAGATAGAGTCAACATGTCTGGGATGGTTAGTTTTACGTGTCAACTTGAATGGGCTAAGGGATGCCCAGAGAGATGGTAAGACATGGGCGTAAGAAAGAGAAGAAGCAAGGGTGACTCTAAGGCTTTTGGCCTGAGCATCTTGAAGGATGGCGTTGCTATTTACAGAGAGGGGGACACGGGGGAGGAACAGGCTTGGGAGGAAATCAAGGGTTCTGTTCTGGACATCTGAAATTTGAGACATTATAAGACAAACAAATAGAGGTGTGAGTAGGCAGTGAGATGCAGGAGTCGGAAGCGTGGGGAGAGAGGTGGCTGGATATGTAAATTTGGGCAGGATTGGCATGTTGCTGGTAATTAATGCCACGGGACTGGATAAATTGTCTGGGAAGTGAGTGTAGATAGAGAGGGGGTCTTAGACTGAACTAAGGAGGTCCCACGACTGTTACAGGTTAGGGAAAGGAGGAATCAACAAGAAGACAGAGGGAGCTGCTAGGGACGCAGGAAAAGAAGAGAGAATGTTGTTCCAGAAGGCAAGTGAAGAACCCATGTCGTGAAAAGAACATCGAATGCTGGACTGTCAAGTAAAATGGAGAAAATGAGGATGTGAGAGATCTAAATCCTCGATTTCAGTGGTAGGAAGTAAATAAACACGACTTGAGACAAGTCAAGCAACAGCTATATATTCATGTGATTTAGAAATACAAGGTAAATGTCAGAAGAAATAGCTAAGGGTGGGCTTATGCAGGGGCTAGTTTTTATAAACTGTATGGAATTTGTGGACTCTTTAAATTATGTGCCTCTTGGGGCGCCTGGGTGGCCCAGTTGGTTAAGCAACT